TGCAGGTCGACTGTATCAAATTCAAGTCAGCATAGCCATTTACCACATACATTTAAAACACCTCTGCTAGCAAGCTTTATGGAGAATCTGTTTTCACTGTTCTTACCAAAAGTACCAAAATATTAAAACTCATGGAAAAAGAGCCCAAACTAAGTATTGGGAATATACTAAACTACATGTATTACATTTTTGATGACCAGCCTTTTAGTGTTAGATATCATTTTCTCACTGTCTATGTAATATTCAAAATTTCTAGAAGAAATTAATTCTGGGGTTCCATAAGCTTTAAGCTTAGATCACTAACAGTAACACACAGCAATGCTTTATATGTTTAACTGCATATTTGTGACAATTCAAATGTATCTAAAAGCATTTGTGAAAGAACAAAAGCATTATAGAACAATGCAATCCAGATTGGTCATAGATAATAATTTAGCAACATAGCTTGTAACTAACTGTATTGGTTGACTTTTGATTGCTATGGTGTTTACTGCAGACTATCACAAGATTACATTCAAATTATTACCATTTCATGCCACAACACAAAGTGCGGCAATCTCTGCAGGGAACAGACTACAACTATCAGTGAACCCACGTGCACTAGACAAAATGCCTGGTTCCTAATTAGGCAAGTGTTAATAGGAGATTAATTAGCACTAATTGCATAATTTCCAGTTAAACCCCTGGAGGGAAGACCAATCTGTTCATTTCACAAGTGTTTAATTACTTTATTTCTTCAGTTCTACAGTCACAGAGCTCACTCATGAACTTAAATCATTGCACAAATCCCACAGCTTTACTTTTAGAGCTTTAGTGTGAACCTTTTTTTTTAGGTTTTGAAGCACTGCTCAGAATCGCCACACACCATTGAGGTTCTCCTGAATGCCTACAGCCACCTGAAAGTCACATACGCTTGGGTTGAGTCTGTCCCTGAAGATGCATACAAGGCAAGTTGTTTAAATTATATAATAGGAGAATAGATCACCTAATGGCCCCCAAAAATTTTCTTTTTTTTATTTCTATTTTAGCTATCTTTGCTATAATCACCCTCTTTAAGTCGTTGTACAGCACACTTTCATTTTCTTATAATGTTTAAGAGGATGACCAGAATAATTGTTTTTACTTTTTTACTTAGAATTAATTTAATTCACCTAACACAAACGTACAACAAATTATGTTATGAGCCGCTTAATGAAATCAAATTTAAATTAATACATATATACAACAGCTTAGCCAATTAAATACATTTCTGTGCTATCAAGGTCAGATTATCATTCATTATGATAATCAATGGGAAGCTGATGATATTTAGTTTATGGTGATTTCACATAACATTTAATGTAAAGTTGTATATTAAGATCATAAAGTCAGTGAATGTCATTTGAGTTATCCTGTGTTTTTTTATGCAACCAGGAGCACAAAGACTTCTATGACTCCATCTTCTCCTTGGCAAAGACTCCTCGTTCCCTGCAGCACTTAGCGCGGTGCAGACTAAGGAGCTACCTGGAAGGCAGAGTTTACAAAGTGGTCCCAAAGCTTGATCTGCCCAACTTCATTAAGGACTACCTGCTCCTGGAGTGCAGAGGATATGTGCACTGAACGCATGTTGTTGTGTTAGTGAAAGTCCACTGGTGGGGTGCAGACTAGTTAGATGATTTTTTTCTCCTTTTTTTTATGTTTCGGTTTCAAATGAAATTTTATTTAATCCTTGTCCTTGAGGAAGCAGCTGCTGCTTGTTTTTCATAATCCCTTGTAAAGCAGATCAACTGCTTCAGCACATCCATTGGTGTTTTAACACCACAAGAGGGAGCTATAGAACAGAATTGATACAGCAAGAGATGGATTTGGCATTTTACTTTTTTATGTTGTATATTTGGATTTATTTTGCATTTAAAGATAAAGAGAATAACTTTTTGTGATTGTATACATTATACTTTAATGATTTGGCTTGTGAACTGAGTATTTTCATAAATATTTGCATGTTATAATAAGGGGTTTATGTCAAAATTCAGATAAAGTAAAACATGGACATGAGTAGTGGTCCTGCTCCTTTGGTTTAGGTAGTAATTATATTGCTTAATGTGTTATTGAGTATTTCCTACCTTGACAGTGTCTTCAGGTTAAAGGAAAGAAAGTAAAATTTAAATAAAGCTTTAGCCAGTCTGGCTTGTATCCACTCAAATGGTGCAAACTTAATATCAGAGAATAGAAAGAGCCCCCAGAACCTACCGGTATAAGGTTTGAAGAAAGTTTGTATAGAAAATAATTATAAAGAAACCATTCCAGAGCAATGTGTTTGAAGGATTTTGCTCTTCCACAAACTGTTAAATACTTTTCTGAGAGTATTTTAGTTTCATATTCCCTGTGTCATTTATTTGTAGTTAAATTGATTAATTGACTTTATATGAGTGGAGGATTTATTTTTTGCTGACATCTGATATAGATTTTGTCTCTGTATATGAATATTAGGAATACATGCATAGAGTTTAAAACTAATTTTACCTTTTATCTTACAGTGCTAGAAATATACACAATGAATATACATAAGAAATAAAATTAGGCTTTTTTTTACGTTTAAATAGATTACCAACACTATTTATACTTGCTAAATGCCAGAATAATTGTACAATTTTTGTAACTTCTTTAAACTTTACAGTAATTAATTTGTTCTTTGTGTTTCTCCATTGAATGGAATTGCTTTTAAAATATGTGATTTCAGGCAAACATTTTGGTTGGATGTCTTACAACTTTATTTCAATATATTAATGAAATGTATTGTTATGTTCTGATTACGCCATCTATTTTTTGAGTGCACCAGTCCTTCCTGCAGCAAAATACCCAAACAAGATGCTGCCACTACTGTGCTTCTCATGATAGGTTTATAGGGTTTCCATTTATTCCTACAGATTAAAATAATTTCTTTGCTAATCATAATCTTGCTTTTTTATGTTACTATTGGAGTTATGGCATCTCTGTCCCTGAATGGATTTTCAGACCACTGGTTTCAGTTTGGATTCTGACCCTCTACTACAACCACTCCCTGCCACAATTGTTACAAGGCGTGAAATTTTATAATTATAATGATTTGGACAATTCAAAGCAAACATGTTCATCTCAGAGGCACAAAACCTTGGAAACCTTCATGGTTTTTATAGCTGTTGGAAAAAGATAACCTGTCACCTTCAGACATCTGGTAGTTTTATCATTCTGTTCCTCGGATATTGCTGTTTTTGTTTTGATTTTACCTTTTATCCCATAAACAAAGCTTTGTGTTTGAGAGATTGCCTAAAATTACCTACTGGTCTCAATTTTGATAAAATTATATAAAATAATCTAGCAAAAGGTTACAAATTCACGAGCTCATCAAATGGGGATGATTAAATAGTGCTAATTTTAATTTGAGCACACCCCTGATGTTCACCAAATTAAAATAAAACTTTTATGAAATGTCTTGTTGTTTTTCCATTTTGTCATTTTAAATAATCCAGTTCATTCTGACTGATTGAAAACTGAAGTTTAATATGACTTTTTTTTTATGTTTTATAAGTCTATGCAAATATCTGCTTTCAACTGAATCAACTTTCCATCTTTACTAAAGTCAGAGTTTAAGAACTTCAATTCAGCTGGTTAAAAACACAATATATATAAGCAAAATTGTTCCCAGTTATAAGATAAATTGGGGGTGTTTTTTTAAAGGTTTGTGACAATCTGCTATAAGTCGATAGAGTTTCTCTTTAATTTAAAACATTTTATTAAAAATCTAGATTTCTGTTACACTATTTTTGTTCCCTAGAAATAATTATTTATATATTTCCATTAGAATATAAATTACAAATTATTATTCACATAAAATTTTATTTGTTTTTCTAAGTCGCTCATATTAGATTAGTGTAACTGCAAAATAAGCAGACAAAGAAAAACAAATGTGAGGTGCTTCTTAAATGGTTTCAGTAGATTAGAGAGAGGTACTGCTGAAGTCACTTGCAATTATAAGAATTATCCTGGCCTGGTCCTCAGCAGCTAATCAGAGTCTGTGCTGATATGTTTATGTCCTTATGCAATCAGACGACCAGTTGGAGAGCCCGGGCACCCAGGACTCAATAGGGCTAATCATCATCAGCTTCCATTGCCATTTAAAGCGGGAGATGATCTGCGATTAAACCCCTTCTTAAAGCATAGAGAAGAATGATTCTTTTCTTCTTTTTTTTTCCATGCGCCATGTGTAGCCTATCTCTTTGGAGACAAATTACTCTCACCAGAGAAGCTCAAAGGAAAACGTCTGTGTTATTTCTTTGAAAAGAACATTAAAGTTCTCTTCATATTCAGTTCAAATAACCCTGCTTTGACTCTGGCCCATGCGCCCCAGAGTCCGCGCCGCAGATGACCTCGCATAAGTGTCTTTTATTTGGATCTAATTTCGCACAGAGCATCTCTCTCCGGGGAACAATTGTTGCAGTGGCACTTCTTTTTTTCACTTGAAGCCGAGCGCATTGTTTTTTTTAAGAGAAACATCTGCCTCTCCTCCCAATCTGCCCCAATCTTCCCCACACAAAAAAAAAAACCCAAAAAGAAGAAAAACGCGTTGTTTTTACGCTGTCCCTTGCATCCAGAGTAATTACTTATCATCAATCAAAATTAATAATAGCTGATTGGGTTGGTGTGGTCAACGATTATAGAAGGGGAAGGGCTGGAGCAGTCTCTCACACCGTTTGCCAGTCAATGGTGAACCTGGCAAATAAAGGAGGGGGGGGGGGGGGGTGCGGCTCGTCTATTTGGTCTCCACTGGGAAACTACCGCCTCTCAAGACGGCCAAAAAGTCAGAGGCTGAATAAGGAAATGAAGCGTAATTTGAGGAAGATGGATGAGTCCCTAGGGAAACACCCCTCCTTTTCATTCCTCTTGTATTGCAGATGATAACCAATGCGCTCCCGTCCTCTCTTTCTCTGCGCGCGCTCACACTGTGCGCATCAGAGAGGGCTTGGGAAGGAGGAGTCGCTCAGGGGTTGAAGGGGGGGTAGATAGAAAGATAGAGAGAGCGTATGTTTATGTCTCAGTGTGTAACGAATAAGAGGGGGGAAAAGGTGGCGCTTCGGCCCCGGCTGTCAGACGCGTAAAACGAGCGCAGAGATCAGGAGAAACAGGGATGACAACACACCAGCAGAGGATCTACTTTCCTTTCACTCCGTGTTCAGATTGAAAGTTTTCCCGTCGCAGAGGAGAGGACATTTACTGTCAGGTCTTCCCCCACAACAAAGAAAAACAATGCAGAGACCGGGCGGGCAAGGGACGGCGTTCTCCATCGACTCTTTGATTGGAACCCCTCAACCCAGACCGGGTCACCTTCTCTATACGGGTTACCCTATGTTCATGCCCTACAGACCTCTGGTTATCCCGCAAGCTTTATCCCACTCTCCTCTCTCCTCTGGCATACCTCCTCTTGCGCCCTTAGCTTCCTTTGCCGGGCGGCTAACCAACACCTTCTGCGCCAGTTTGGGACAGGGGGTTCCGTCCATGGTGGCGCTCACCACCACCATGCCGAGCTTCTCGGACCCTCCGGACAGTTTCTATCCGCCACAGGAGCTGCCGGGTCCGCGTTTGAGCGCAGCCGATCCCGGATCGAGGAGGCAGGAAAGTCCGCACTCTGATGAGCTGCACAGCCGGGACAAGGGCTCCGATCTGCTCAACTTTTCAGAAACTTTTCAGACAATATCCGGTAAGCCCCTGTTCATCACATGCATTTGTGTCTGAAAAAATCGGGTTCACTCTGTATGCATTAAAAAGAAGAAAAAAATAGTTTATAGGTTTGATTGATTAGATTTCAAGCATGCAGACAAACTGCGAATATTTCCTTTTTTTATTATTATAAAAGGGGATAAAGGCCTGTTTACATCTGCATTGTTTACATGAATCTTACATGTGGAAGGATTTTGAAGACTATATAGGTTACTCAATAAAACTTAAAATCAAAAAAATAACATTTTAATACACACACAATTATTTATTCATTAAGAACATTATTAATCTATTGTTTAGCATCAAAATGTGATCATTGGAGGAACTCTACTCATTTCTGCACAACTAAATGTGTGATTCACTGAACTAAAATTAATCATTGGGAAATTAATCTCTTAATGTATTGGAAAAATATTTTATTGATTTGTACATATCTTATTTTTTTTCTTGCAAAATGGTTTCAATTTGCATTAACTTTGAACTGGCGCAAGCCAAAATAAACAGAATTTCACTGAATTAACTAAATTATACGGATTCAGTTTTGGGCAAATTTTCCACTTTACTTCATACATTGTATAAATAGGAAATATTTTTATTGTGTAACGAGAGACAGAAAAAAAGTAATAAACAACGAGAATAATTAAAGATCATAGGACGTTTAAAAAAAAAAGACGCCAATTCTGCAGCAGAAATTCAGTTTCCTGTTATTTTCTGTGTTGCTTCTATATATTTGAACATATGTTTGGCCTTTTGCCAAAACGGTTCATTATAAATGAGCATATAGGCCGTAGCATAAATATTTGGATAATATTTGCAGAAAGTTCCACTTTTATGGATTTATCACCAACTAATCCAAAAAAAAAAAAAAAAAAAATTAATTGTTACTTAATTATTATATTTCTTCTTTTTTTTCAGGTGAGACCAAATTATACAGTTCAGACGAAGAAAAACTGGACCTAAAGTCAGCGGACGCGGTTTGCAGCGACAGGGAGGACAGCTCTGCGGACAGCGAGAACGAAAGTTTCTCAGACGGGACAAACTGCGGCGGCCTGTCCCAGAAAGGCAAGCTGAAAGGCGGCTCACAGGAGGCGTCTCTCCCGAGCGGCGGCTCGGCGGGGAAGAGCCGCAGGAGACGAACAGCTTTCACCAGCGAGCAGCTGCTGGAACTGGAAAAGGAGTTTCACTGTAAAAAGTACCTCTCTCTGACCGAGCGCTCACAGATCGCTCATGCGCTCAAGCTGAGCGAAGTTCAGGTGAAGATCTGGTTTCAGAACCGCAGGGCCAAATGGAAACGAATCAAAGCCGGGAACGTCAACAACCGCTCCGGAGAGCCGGTAAGGAACCCCAAAATCGTCGTTCCCATCCCGGTGCACGTCAACAGGTTCGCCGTGAGGAGTCAGCATCAACAGATAGAGCAGGGGAGCAGACCATGAAGAGCGCCTCCATCTGACTCTATGAAGGACTCTCTGATTTGAAGAAGTGAAGAATAAAACTATGACTATTTAGTTATTTTGTCTGAGAGGTGAGGCTATAGGGAGATTTATTCCCAATGGTATAAATGATACATTTTTATTTATTGTCCTGTTAATATGTAAATAGAAAAGGGTACAAACTGGCACTAAGAGATGTGACTGTAAATATTTTCTAAGTATTTATATGTAGGATCCGATCTGTTGATTCTGTGCATGTCCTCATTTGATGGGAGAAAAAAAGAAAAGAAAATCCCGCATTTTTTTTGTTTTGTTTTGTGTTTTGTATTTGTTGACCACATTTGCATGTTTTACTGGGGATGTTTTACATCTATTTGGTGCAGGAAGCACCTTGGAGATTTTATTTGTGGAGGCAAAAAAAAAAGGAAATAATGAGCGAAAAGGGACATCTGTAAAGTATGATCTAATAAATTGCTTTATAAAAATACTGGAATCCAGATTGAATCACTTTTATCTATAGAACAGATTTACGATCTTAAGGTGTTACCTGATGGTTGTTCAAATATAAATAGTTTAAAACATTAAACAGAGCTTTTAATAAAAAGAATGTCTAACAAAATAATTATTACTGTATTACTACTACACCTATATTCTAGCAATTTTTAACTTATTTTCCTGGCCGTCTACTTTAGTAAACTGGTTTCCTCAATGTTTTTTTTATTGTTATTTTGTTCTTCACAAAAGCACAACGATTATTTTTAACCTTGAAAATTTGAAATGATTTTTTTCGAGACATAATCACTCAAAAGGTAGATGATTGTTTTTTAAATAGCAACAGTGATTGATTTCTCTTAAGGAGGCTATGTTGGTGGACTGATGGATCCTCATTAGGGAAGAGCGCATCAGGCACTCTGTGATAAACTTCTCCATCAGATACAGAGATACAACAGCACCTTTATTTATTTTAGTTTTCAAATTTCCCAATAAGTCACAAAAAGTGGAAATAAATTTGTTCTTATAGAATTATGCTTCATTTAAAATACAGCTGGTTTACAGATACTTTATTTGCACAGAAATGTTAAGGTTTGAAGGGAATTATAAGTATACATAAAAAAAAAACTGCATGGAGTTTAACCTAAAAAACAAATATTGTTACAAATAACAACAAACTCTGTCAGAGTTGTATAAATATTATACTTTACTACTTCTCTACTTAAGTTGGGACACCAACACATTTCCTAAAATAAAAAAAGATAAAACAAGAAAATTACTTACCGTACACACTACTGATCATAAGATATGTTGCATATGACCACAGCTTATTAAAGGAAGCAGAAAAACAAGGAGTTCACAGAAAAAAAAACTGTTTTTAGTAAGGTTGCCTGTCTCTGTATTTAGTGTAAAAGAAAATTTTCTAAAGAAAAATCTCAGGTTTCAACATTCAAAGAAACTCATAGCTTTTATAATGTTTCACTGCATTATTATTGTAGGTATAACCAGGAGCATGTTCATTTTCCAGGTTTTATCAAAAATATTTTTATAGTAATTTTCTCCATCTTAAATGAGTAAGGAATGCACAGTTTGTTCCTCTTTGAACCTCATAAGGAATGCCAACCTAAAATACAGCTTGACCTCAGAGCATAAACGGCCTTCAGTGACCTGGGTAAAGTTTATTTCATCATCCACCTCATACATCAAGACTGTGACACTTGGATGGGGATTCAAGGAGTGATGAGCGAGTGGGAAGTTTTATTAAGGTACAAGAGCTGACTAATATAGACAATCAATTCCACGACAGCGTGCCAGAGTGCAGCTGCTATTTCAGTCGCCATGAGCTGCATCCTGAAGGTGATGATGAGGAGCAGTGACAAAGCTAACCCTTTGACTGCAGGTTTGTTATTGCTGAGGTCCTGTGAGAAAACGAAGCAGCAGCATTTGAGCGTTTCTTTGCTCCTCCCTGTTAAACTAATTGTGTTGATGCTTCCAGAGTTGTAATAAGCTCTTCCTTTAAAGCTGGAGAAGTGGATACTCAAATCCCAAATTGAATTATCAGCTCCTTCCACGTGTAACAATTTCCTCATCCCCACCTGCAGCGAGAAGGAGAGGACAGCGAAAGACCTCATTACTGGCCAGTGGAGTTGGCGTTGAGTGCTTGTGCTGACTGGAGGCCTGACTTTTTAGGAGGGTCCGGGCGTTAGTGGATACAGTGATGTATGGGCAGATGCATCAAATCGCACAAGATAAACAAGCGATGAGTTTCATCAGGGCCATCATAGCTTTAATTTGGCTGCCTAATGAGTCAGATCTAGTGGCGGAGATAAGAGTTGTCAGAGGCCTGGCTCTAATGAATTTCTTGCCACTTGTAATCAAGGTTGCCTGTCTGAGGGGGGATGATTAATGGAACCCTGGAGGATTCCCTCGGCCCTCAGCCTTCATTACATCTAATGCATTCTCAGGCAAATTAACAGCAAAATGCAGGCAAAAGCCAACAGGGAAAGATGGGGAGAGAAAAGAGAAGAGAGAGAGAATGGGAGGAAAGTGGTGAGAGCAGAATGTGTTTTATAAGACAAAGGAGTTTAACGAGGATGTGATGAGGAAGATAGTGAGACGAAGGAGTTGGGTTGGCAGAGATGGACTGAAATGTGCACATTAGTAAGATAGTATCCAAATTAGTAAGGAAGAGTAGGTTTCAATGAGTAAGGGCAGAGATTATTGTAAAGGCAGTGGTCAACTTTGATACAGTTGGAATTTATAACTGCAAAAATAGACAAAACAGAATGTCTTGCTTGTTTTGCTAACTTAGATACCTAAATCACCAATGAAAAATTCTCCCAGGAATGGTTGATATATGTAAACAAAGCAACCAACAACAATATAAAAAAGTTGACCTCCTAGAGACTTTTTTTCAGGTTTTTTTTGTGTGTGTGTTTTTTGCCTTTTTAACAATTTACATATTTTAGTTCTACAAAATGAACATTAGCAACAAAAAAAAGTCAGGAAATAGCGTGATTACTATTTGAATCTCCTTGGTAACACCATAAAGGCTGTAAGGTTGCTAAAAGCAAAACATAATGCCATAGTGTAAAGAAAGTTGGAAACTCAAGCAAACCAGCATGAGAGTGAAAACTAACAATTGTTCACTTTCCCAGGAGTGGGCAGTTTGCCAATTTTACACTAGTGCACCAATGACTCATCAAGGGAGGAATAAAAACAAACAAGACTTTCTAAAGGTCAGTGTTTATGATTCAACAATAAGCAAGTGAGGGATTAATAAGAGCATCAATTTGAAAGTTGCTTGGTCAAAATCCTGCTACGCTGCACAAAATAACACAACTCCCGACATTAATCCAACAAATTCAAACCTTCATGCCAATTGTGTTTTGGCTAGGATTGTATTTTACTCAGTAATGATCAGTTTTGCAGCTTATGATCCCAACATTACATCTGGCCCTGTACTGATCTGGTCCCCTCTCTGGGCATATGCTGAGGAAACAAGTTTTTACTACAGCTTGGCAAGATAATTTTATATTGCAACAGATTTATTTATAGTGTTTGTAACCGATCTATATATATCATAGGAATTTACTCTGGATGCAAAATGCTCTGGAGGGATAAAGGCCAATGCCTGCAAAAAATCAAAAAGATAATTTTTGGTTTATAACAGAGAAAGTGAGTATAAATAGTTTGTAATTTTTTCACAAATTTCCAGATTTTGACAGTGTTCTCCAATTTCTAGATTGATTTAATTAGCTTCACAACATTTAGCATATCCGAAAACAACACATTTTTATGAAGGTTAAAGGTATTGTGGAGGATTTTCGCAAATTTTTAAAACTAGAATTAGAATTATCTCCTTGTGTAGTCTCTGTTTTAAAATAGCTGTTTGCATCACTCATACAAGCTTACTAACCAAAAGAAGATTTGCAATTTTTCAACTATGTCAGACTCACTACAGGTAAATAAAAAAATGGGGACGACCACATAGGACTGTCTTACGTAAACATATCACCAGAATGACTGACAAGTAGGAGGACAAATTATTATTATTATTTATTTATTTATTTTTATAATTTTTTTTTATTTATTTAAATTATTTATATGATCCACCCGGAAATAGAACATCCTCCAGTATCTGAAAGAGTCTTCTTTGGTTTCACCTGGAACACCTGCCATTGCGTCTCTCTTAAGCTTCAGCCAATCAGCGACGGACCCCCCCCCCCCGAAGCCAATCTTTTCTCAAGACGTTCCTCAGTAAGACAAACGCCCAGCTTCCCCATGCAGCATATCAGCCAAACTTCGACCCACCTCCGCCTCATCTCCTCCCTCACTCTTAGGCTACTCTTAGACCCTCTCATCCTCTGGCTTACTCCACCACCAGTGGTCACGGGAGGATGAATACTCTAATCCTCTTCCTAAATTATTAATCCAAGCTTATACCGATTTACAGCATCATGTCTTCTGCCGGGATCCGAGTGCCAAAGAAATTATTTCAATAGTGTCAATAAAATCTTCACTTCTTTTCTCCATTAAAGTCTCTCCAAGTTGAACTGCTTTAATATATGATCAGCACCTAATGAAATAATGCAGTGCAGAAGTTGACTTGTAATTCAGCAGTGAGGGAATAACCCTTATCACTGCTGGTATATGGAACATGGAATAAAACTATGCCCCTTTATTTCCCTACAACCAAACATCACATTTAAAGCTCTTTATTCTTCCCAATGGTTTTATTGGAGCGTCAATATTCTCTATGTCATCGATACCAAAACCATATCCAGATTAAAACCTGGACTTTAGTCTGATAGGCCGTTAAATTTTGGGATGCGCTTTTGCCTGATTTAAAAAAAAACAAAAGCCACCCAGTCTATATCTACATCAAATTGTTGTTGAAAATATATAAATATCTTTACATTTATGTCTATTAATCGATCTATAATTTTTTTACACCTGTTACTTTTTTTTTTCCATATTCACCCATAAAAAAATGGATGTAATTTTCCAGGCTGTATAAGTATCAAGCTTAATGTTTGTTCAACACCTCCTTGATGCAGCATGGACAGAACGTGTCATTAACACAGCTGTTAAAGTGGCCTGCTGTAAAGCAGCTTGGAGGTGTTATGGAAATATGTATTTAATGTTTGCAAATATGGTCTCTTCAGGTCTTTGTGTACCCATCCATCAACCTCAGACCCACCTCTGCAATCTCTGAGGCAATTTGTCTGAGAAGAGGTGGGCGTTGAGGAGCCCTCCTCACTGTTTAGCTGGGCCCTGATGAAATATCAAAACACACAGCAGCACCAGTCTTGCCAAGGTAGACATACGTATAAGTTACCAGGATCTGTCATTATAGGATGCATTGGAAATTATATTAAGAAAATAAATATTTATTTCTGTTTGAATTAATTAAAAAATGAACTCTTTTAT